CTCCACTCTAACCACTGAGCTGTGGGAAGTAACCATATAGTTGTGCAGAGCGGCGATGTTGTCCCATGCCAGCTTAGCCGGCTGCAAGTAATGCGACCTTCTTGTTGAAAAGCGGGACAAATCCAGTGAGAGAAAAATTCTTGTTGCAGCGGGACTTTTCTGTAGCTGTGCTGCCTGTCTCTCCAGCGTGTACTGCATCGGGACAAATTCGTGCTGAGCCATCTTGGCTTGGGAGACTAGATTTCTCGTGATACCTCATCATGGCCTCCTGCACATTGGCTTCTGCAGTAATGTCCGGGACTTCGCGTCCAGTAATTGCTCCAAACTCGCGCTTTTTAGTTGGGGTGCGGCATCCAGGTGCCACCCTCCGGGTTGTAGCACCGGTCCGTGCTGTGAATAGCGAAAGCATCGATCCTGGAGCTCTTGCTGCTACGCAGCTTGTTATGCACTTCTGGGTCCAGATTTGCGAAATTGATACCCAGGTCAATAAGCTTGGCCTCAACTTCAGCTAAATCTTCTTCATCCACTGTTTTCTGCTTCTTGGGCGGCGACGACGGTGCAGCCTTCCTCTGCTGGCTTCGTCTGCCATTCGAGAACGGCCTCAAGCTCCAGCTGAAGGAGCTATGCACTCACCATTCCTGCCGAGGCTGGGGCCGAGGCTTGTGGCCCCTCCGGCGCTGCAGGCAACTCCACGTCGGGGTGCTCCTGAGACTCAGGTTCCTCCTTTGCCATGGCGGCTTCGGCCATGGCTGCTAACTAGTAAAAAAAATGTACGGGATGGGGCACCAGCTAGAACACAGTTGACCTGGGTCTAAAGAGCGCCGTGAAAGAAACAAAGTCGGGCACGGGACTGCGGAAGTGAAATCTTAGCTCTACTCTGCGATAGTGTTGCAAAGCACTGCACAAGAAGCGCGGGACGTGGGGTCCAGGACCCTTCTCTGTGCTTGTGCCAAATGCCCCCCCGAAACTCTAAACCCCCCAACCCAGGCCAAAATGCCCTGAGCCCTGAAACCCAAATTTATGAAGACTCTAGTCTACAGAAGCTCTGGCAACTTGGTGCCTTCCTTGCTCCGCCGCTGCCTTTCTGCCGCTTCCATCATCTGCTCCGCATCTCTCTCATCCTCAGGCTATGGGTTTTGGGGTGGCCCTTGTCTTGAGCTGTTTAGGTTTACTGTAGGGCACAGGTTCAGGTTCATAAACCTTGAAACTTGAAGCAAGTCCTTAAGCTTCCATCAAGGGGGAGAAAGGATAGACCGAGGCAGCGAATGAGAGGAGAAGTCAAGGAAACAAGCACTGACCTCCCAACACTTAGGGTTTAGGCTTCAGGGCTTAGGCTTTAGGGTTTAGGCTTTAGGGTTTAGGCTTTAGGGTTTAGGGGTTAGGGGTTTAGGGTTTAGGGTTTTGTTTAGGTAACACTTCAAGCCGCAGTGCTGTGCGGTGGCACCCCCCCCCCATTGACCCGGCAACACAGGAAAGATGACCCTCCGGAACCGGCCTTGCTCTTCATGAATCTTGGGTCGGTCCTGGCCGCCAGGTGTAGGAGAACTGGGGGCTCTAGCGGCTTCAGGGCTCTAGGCCTATGGGGTTTGAGCACAATTTGTACTTACTCTCAAGCCGATCCTGAGTCATTTTGAAGGGGAAGAAGTCTTGCCTGGTTGCCTCCAATACTGAGCTCCACTCTCGCCTTAACTCCTGAATGCCATGACTGCCCTCCTAGGCACACGCTGCGAAAAGTATCGACTGAATTGCTTCTGCAGAGCTGAGTGTCGACAGTGTAAACCCAATTCTTGCAGGCGCAGAGCCTGCATGTCTGCAGACAGTGTCGTCCAGGAATTCCTTCCACATGCGAGGCGGCTCTGAAAGCTGCAAACCCACAGAAGCGCACAGTGACAAGACTGAGACTATATTATATATTACATTATATTATATATTATACTATATATTATACTATATATAATATTATATATTATACTGACCTCTGCTGGTTCTGCGTATCGCATATACACACGCTGTCCAGACGGATTGCAGCAGACCGGCACGCCCTTCCGCCGGGGCACTCCCTCCTGAACAGGCGTTCTGAGCGTTGAAACTGTCAGAACTCAGGCACATTCGTGTCCGCCTAGAAGCTTTCGTGGATAACGGAGAAGAACGGAGACGATCCCCAAGTCTTCTAGGGCTCTTCTGCTTTCTTGGTCGCGTAGGGCCCCCTCGTGCCGGCTTAGCCTTGAGGATCTTTGGAGTGCCAGATGAGAAGACACCATGTGCGGCATGACTACATCTTGCATGTCTGTCTTTGCGGCTTAGTGGTTCAGCCGTATTGCTTGCATGGTTTTTCTCGGGCGTGAGCCTCGCTTGTCCGACTGCTTCGATCTGCGAGACAGTCACCTTCCTCCTGGCTTACCAGCAGTATATGGCTCTTCTGAATCTAAAGCGGGGAACGGCCCCACCCGTCACCTGACCGACACTGAAGAACTGTGACAGCCGCAACAGAACATCCCGTGGCCCCGAAGTCCCGGAAGGACAGCCAAAGGAAGCGTTGCCTTTCGACTCTTGACTCCCAAGATTGGCAGTGTCCTACGGTTGATGATATAATATCCTGCATTATACCCAGAATAAGGAATATACCCATAATTCCTATAGTTTAGGGTCCTTCATGGTAATGCAGGAATTTATATCATCAACAGTATCCCCCTGCGCTCCTCGTCGAACTTGACCTTCACCTTCCTTCTCCCGAGAAAGCAGGTGTCTGGCCGCGGCACGCGGCCGGGTGGCTTTGGCCCATCACCGAAAGCCCCGACCTTCCACCAGCTCGCACTCTCTTAGGGTTTGGGGTTTAGGGCTTATAGCGTTTAGGGTTTGTAGGGTTTAGGGTTTATAGGGTTTAGGGCTTATAGGGTTTAGGGTTTGTAGTGTTTAGGGTTTATAGGGTTTGGGGTTTATAGGGTTTGGGGTTTATAGGGTTTGGGGTTTATAGGGTTTGGGGACAAGTACTTGTCAAGGGTCTGAGCCTCAGGGAAAATCGGAGGCTGTACAGGCACTTCAGAATCTCTTCGATCACAGGTCGCTGTAGGGAGCCCAATGTCTTTACACGAACACGAGCCTGCCAGAATTTAGGACTCGGCCATGGCCCCTCAACTGAAGGAAAAGAATAGACTCACACCAGCGCACACGCACGAACGCTCCCGCTCACTACTGATATAGGAGTTCGACCAAAATTAGGACCTGTATCCGGCTTTTTCTCATAAGCAAGTCCGAGGCAGCCTCGTGGTCATCGGAAGCGGTGAGGAGGCTGTGAAGCCACGAGTGGGTCGCCAGCGGCATTGATGGCTCTGGTTGTTTAACCGATCATGACTTGTGCTAGGTTTTGTTCTTTAACACCTGCTTTCCACCCAGCAGTGGTGCTAGGGTTTAGGGTTTAGGGTCTTGTAAGGGCTTGGTCGGGGTTTAGAGTTTTACGCTCGTGGTTGAAACCCCCTCGCTCCAAGTATGGCTGAACTGCCGACATGGGCCGGGCTCAGTTCCGCCCCAGCTTAAGTGCTTTAGGGTTTAGGGTCCGAGGTTTTGATAACTTTTATTCAAACCCTCATGTCATTATGGTACCCTTATCGTAACAGTTGCAATAACTAACCCCCCATAGAAAACTTTACAGGGCCGTCCGGTGAGCATGAGGCCCGCCCCTTCTTGAGGCGCTTCGAGCCAGATCATTCGGGCCCATCAGGGTTTCTATTAGGCTTATTATCAGGGTTCTCTATGGCTTCTGATGAGAGGTACTAGAAGATAATCGATCAGATAGGGGGTTACTATCAGGGTACCGTAAGGTTAGCTCGCTCAACATGCAGGGCCAGCATCCTTGCTGTGAGGGCTGCTGAGCCTCAACATCCCCAACTGCCTTCTTAGAGTTGAGACCAACAGACTCCGGAGCCTTCTCCAGGAGTGCACCAGCCATGACCACCACCCCCGTGGTGCCATCGCCAATCTCGTGATCCTGTCTAGGCCAGGGTGAGAAGACGCTGCGTGAAATTTGCGGTTGGTGAACAGAAACTGGCAAGCCAAGTGCACCTTTTCATCCTCGCGCAGCACAAACTCTCGGGCTTAACATTGAATGCTCGCTGTTTAGATGATTCGCAGCTTCCTGCTCAATCTGGCTTGGGGCACACCGGCTTGGCTCTGCGTCCAAGTGGTTGGCCCCTACAACCGATTTGGGAACCTTCGGAACCCCAAGATGCCACGAGTTTGAGGCAAAGTAGTGCCAGCAATTGAAAGGGAAGGGAGGAGCATGCGAACCGGTCGAGGAGGAAACAACCTCCACTCTCCTGGTTGCTGCCCGACGAAGTACACACAGAATCAACTACCCAAACAAAGATGCCCGGGAGCACAAACTCTCGGGCTTAACATTGAATGCTCGCTGTTTAGATGATTCGCAGCTTCCTGCTCGATCTGGCTCGGCACAAGTTCGCACATGGCACGGAACCTGTGAAGCCAGACATCAAGCTGCTAAAGGGTGAAACGAGAATAGAATAATATTTGAACAGACTTGGAAGCTGCAGCCATGCCTCTGTAAGCACATCGGATCAAAGAACGCATGGGTATGCACCTACAGTGCAACACAAGATGCGCGAACGCTGCTGCGACTGGAGGATGTGATAAGTACACCGATGAGGGGTCATGGCGCCTGCGCCACAAGTCATCACAAGTAACAGCCTAACTAAGCACTTGAACCGGTCCGAAGTGGACGGAAACACAAGGCTGATAGACACAAGAGTCTTCAGCATGCCCCGTTGGCTCAGCATCAGGGAAAGCACCCCGACTCCTGCGCTGAACATGGGGTGCAAGGTTGCGACAGGACTCTGCCATGGGGCCCCCAAAATGCCGCAAAGCCAAAGCTGAAGTTCCATGATCGACCTTCACCCTGCAAGCTAAAGCCAAAAAAGGCCTAAAGGCAAAGTGCAAGAGAGATTTGAGTCAAGCAGGGCCTCCGTGGCGCTGCCCACATAGTCGATCTAAAGCAGGCCATCGAGTTGAAGGGTGCTGTGCCTGTCCTTACGGACATTAAAGCAAAGGTCTGCAGGAGAGGAGGCTTGGATCGTGGATAAGAGAAAACAACAGTAGGGTTTAGGGTTTACGGTTTAGGTGCTTGCAGATCCCAGCATCTTTGCCGAGGTAATCCACTGCCGCATCTTCCTGGTGATGTTTGCTTGCTTCTTCCAGAAGTCGCCTGCGGCGCTGCACGAGAGCAGCCAAACCGCCCGACTCCTCAGACTCCTCATGCGGCTCTTGAAAGGATTCTGGCACGTATTCCTGGATCTCGCACTCAGACTTTGAGAAAGTGACCTGGCGCGGCTTCTTCTCTGGCACTACTGCTGGTGAAGAGCTCCCATGGCTTGCAACTGACGGCTTCGCCGTCGAACCAAACCGTCGAGGTGCTGGTGGCCCCGGTCGCGGCCCTGCTGGCTTTCTCGGCAACAGGGTTGCGGAGGAGTCCGACATCTCTGGCTGTGCGAACTAAGCGTCGGTGAATAAGCTCCGATGCTTTGAGGCTGCACGGCTGGGGATGCAGGCTTTTGGGCTCAAGACTTCGATTCAGACTCCCTTGCAATTGTTTCACTCGGAGAACTTCAACCAGCTAGGCAAGACTCGAACCACTCGACTTCGTCACTAAAGGATGCCAGGATCTCAACATCGGTTAAATCTCTGCGCGTGGGCGGCCCTTGTTCCGGCACCCTCTACGAGGCCCGAAGCCAATGTCATCGACATCAAGCCGAACTACATACCAATCAAGTCCTCAATCAACCTCTGCTAACCTCCCGTGAAGCCTTGATCGGCTTGATCCCTCGAATCCCTGTCTTAAGGCCCCACCCCGGNNCCCCCCCCCCCCCCCAAAGAAAAAAACAAGCAGTGAGAAGGAGAGTTTGGGACTGTCGGCCTGGGACGCCGAGAGCTCGACGAGAAGCTTCGCTATCTGCCCGCGGGGCTCTCAAGAAGTTACGGGTAACCCTCTTTGGATGCTTCGGGCTTCTGGGTTAAGATAAATATGAAATACTACAGCATAATATAAGACAATACAAGATAGGATAAAATAGTGCAATATATCAAAATAGAATATAAGATAATACAAGAGAAGATAGTATAATATAATATATCAAAACATAATAGGGTTCAGGGGCCAGGGTCCCAAAACCGAGGGCTTCGGCTCAAGGCCTCAAGTAGCTCACGACTCGTCCCAGAACTACAGCAGCACAGCAGTCGCCGTGAAGGCAAGGGTTTAGGGTTGAGGGTTTAGGGTTTAGGGATCTACTTCGGGTGGCGGGTGTTCCGCCTGATGGTTCACGTCCATCTTTTCAAGAATGGTGGCACCGTCGTTTGTGACAGTGACATCCTGGACTTCCAACGGATCACCATCGGCTCATGGAAGCTTGGGAGACGTATTTGTAATTCTACTATTTACAAGCAAATTACAAGTAGAGTTGCATTCTGTATAAACCAGGTTGCTCAGTCCCACGACGATCCCTGGAGCAGGGCATGTTACCAGTCCTCTTTCACAGGAACAACTGGTGCAGGAAGCTTGTGGCTGGTGCGAGGTGCTGTATGCTTCATACCCGACTGCAGCCTTTTGTTTTGCCCTACAGGGATGTTCGGTAGACTTCTCCGAACCCAGGTATTGAATCCAACTATGGCTGCCCTGGTTGCTCTATTCGTCTGGAGTTTTCAGCAGGAAGCTACGACAGGCAGAATTTCGTGGCGAATGCTAGAAGTGCCCTTCTGGCCACACCGTGATTGACGTACGTTGGAGCAGATGGGCTTGGGGGTCTCATGCAGCTGCAGCTGCGCAAAACCTCCGTTAGGGTCTGCGCTCTAGGACTTAAGCCCACACACAACTCTCAAAGACGCTTCGATTGATCTATCACAATTATCAGAATGCTTCGGGCACCCGGGCCCCATCTGGACCGACGACCATCTTGTCCATGCCCCTTGGGCCCATGGAGCTCCGGACCTGGAGAACTCTCGGGGGGTTTTATGGAGTTAAAAAAGTGCCATGGGGTTGGTCATAGGGCTCCATGTAGGTTCCTGGGGTTCTCATAGGGCTCCTTATATTATGTTCCTGGAAAGGGCTCTATACACTCTTAATGTGTCTTGGTCCTGGGGCTTGGAGCTGGATATCCGCAAGGTGCATCAACGACAAAGATAGAAGCACTTCGGGAGCAGCGAGGCAGTGGGGCAGTGGGCTGCTTTTGCCTCGCAGATGCTGACTCTGAAGACAGCCTTCCGACGCCTTTGAACCAAAAGCGCCAAGCCTAGGCCTAGCCTGCAACACATAACTCTTGACCCGAAGCCTGAATACTTCCTCGGATCCAGGCAATCGTCTCTTAGAACTACGCAGATCCGTGTAGCCACCAGGCTTCGGGCAGAATCGGCGATGGCCTTTGCTGCCAGGATGTTCGCCTCCGAGGCTTGAGCTTTGGAGCAGAGATCCCGGTGATTCTTGCGGCTCCTCCTTATGAGGTGTTGAGGCATGCCTTTTCTTGACACCTCGTTTCCGTCCACATGATTCAATTGGTTGGAAGGCCGGGTGTCAGTTTAGGGCTTAGGCCTTAGTCTGACATTTGAGGAGCTGGGCACCGGATCTCCTTCTTCTACTTGGCAGGTCAGGACGACAGCTAAAGGCCTGAAACTATTATTATTATTTTTTATTTTTATTTGTATTTTTATTCCTATTCCTATTACTATTATTATTGTTATTACTACTATCATTATTATTACCACTATTAACTGAATTGACTTGAAACAGTTTAACACGAAGTGCTGAGGCCTGAACCTTACAGCTAAACCTACAGCTTCCCTTATCAGCTCCCGGTGCTTTTTTGCTAGTCACCGGGCGCCTTATGCGCATCGAGGCCGGACAGACGCTTCTTCTTCGCCTGCTCCTGGCATTTTCGCGAGGTTTTACAAGGGTGCTGTACGGGTTTGTCGGTGGCTTGTCGGGCCTTTATGGAGCGCACAGGGCTTAACAAGGGAATTCTGATGAGTGTTTAGGGGTGCTATCTAGGGTAGCATCGTCGCCACACTTTAATTCCATCAGAGGCATTGATACGACTGCAAAGCCAGGCAGCAAAGACAAGCAGCAGGATGCGGGGCCCAAAATCAAAACTCAGATTCGCTCATTCTCAACTACGGGGTTCCCCCGCGGAATCCCAGCATCGTCAGCCGAGGTAGTCCAAGACCGACGAGTTCATAGCCTCGAGGATCTAAGTCAGAAGTCTCCTATCTCAAAGCTTCACCAAGGAATAGCAGGAATGTTCGAGAGACATCGATAACAGGTCGATAGATGGAGGCATAGATGGATAAGTAGAATAGGGATAGAGACAGAGACGGAATGGACTTGCACCTTCTGCAGCTTTTGTCCGCCGCACTTTCAGCTCTGGAGTCTCCAGCTCGGAACCGTGGGTGCCGGCCGTTAAATCGGATGAACACCCGGAGAGGTCCAAACCCGAGTCCACTGACCCCAGTGCTGCGCTGTAAACACTTGAGGCCTCCATGGTAAGGCTACGAGGACATGGAGGCCAGGCGTTCGGAGGCGGAACCAGCTAAGCTTCTTCTCGTCGGATTTGTTGCAGTGGCTTTCTGGATTGCAAGGCTGAGAGGTGTGTGTAGTATATGCTTATTGGGGGGGGGGCCCCAGGGCTGAGGCTGAGGAGAGCTTTTCGTGGTGGCTTGCAATAGCCCTGCCACAGCTTCGGCTCTGCAGTCCGCAGGGCACACGGCCCCTCCCCGAGCTCTCAGGCTTTGGGCTTCTCCCAGACCGACTCCCCAGTCGTCCTGGGCTTCGGACAGAGCTGAGGTCACAGGCAATTTAGGGGCTCAGGGGTTTAGGGTTTAGAGTTTAGGGTTTCGGGTTTGGGTTTAGGGTTTAGGGAAGTCTGCGATCCGAAGGGCTAAGTTTTTCCGAAGCTTTGGGAGGCCTCCCATAAACAGGGCCTCCTAGTTGAGCTCCTGAACTGGGCTGCTGAATTTTGTCCCATCCGAGGGGCGCATTCCAGAAGAAGGGCTGGGAATACTGGTCGCTCCAGTGCTCCTCCCAACCTGGGCAAAAACTCCGAAACCGATGCGACGGGAGGGGAGGGGAGGGGAGGGGAGAGCGCCTGCGCTGAGAAGCGCCGGGTGAGATCGTCGCTGAGAACGTGAAAGCCAGGGAACCCTTTTACCCTAAGTCCTGGGACTACCCAACACCAAACCCTCCCAGTCCACACAAATGCTCGGCACTCTACGAGCTTGCAACCGGGCTTGGGGCCAAAGCTTCCATGGAATGACTTTCCGAGTTTGGGGTTGGGTGTCTGGGGCCCCTCACCCTCCGGCAGCTTGTCCGACTTGGTGCTCTTGCCCTTGCCACCCTTGGCACCTTTACCTGGCGGCAAGCTTCTTGGGGCGCACTCGACTTCATATCAACGAGCCTTTGGGGTAGGGCGCAAAACCCTTCCTGCATTGGTCATCCTGAAGCATGCAAGTGCGAGTAACCGACTCCTCATCCAACTAGAACGGGACCAACTGAAGATGGCCCATCCATGCTGCCTTTGCCTTCCTTGCCGCCCTTGCTGCCTTTTCCGCCCTTGCCACCCTTGCCTGATGGGCCAGGGCTTTGATAAAAGGTGAAGTGATTTCCATGGCAAGCTGACAACAAGGAAGGGGGCCCGAGGGGGGCTTGGAGTTGTCTAGCATCTCACACTGCGCTTCTGCATTCAGGGCAGGCCTGACCACCCCCTGCCCCCCACCAAACACAAAGAGAGGACAGGCGTATCTGGACCCGGAAGGACTCTCGTGGAACACTCTCGCCCCTGCCCCCGGGCCGACTGCTGACTGCAACTGGGCTGCCAGTGGAGGGCGCAGGGCCAGTCCTGTCAAGAGCTTGGGTAAGCTTGCAGGGCGTCCATGCGCAAGTAGGCGAAAGCACAGGCCGAAGTAAGAGTAGAGCCCAACAACCGCACGGGCTACGCTGCTTCTTTGCATGCACGTTCGGCTGTCCGGTTTTGAAATGCACGAGGCTACCCCATCGATATTGCAAGCTTGCGGCGGCCGGCTTTAGACAATCACAGCTGGCACAGCATACATTGCACATCTACCAGCAGGCTTGTTTGCTTTAACCTGGAGTCCATTGAGAGGCATTCCACCTGAATCCGATAACGCAACTCGGAAGTCCGAGAGGTGTCCAAGCCAGGTAGAGTCCGAAACTCCGGGGACCTCAGCCCCAACACCCTTCAAACCCACCCCCCACGTCCTCGCTCGCTTCGCCGGGCCCCCAGGGTCGGACTCGTACTCGCGTTTCCGAACCTCCCCGAAGCACCGGCTGCAGATCTACTGGAAGCAGCCGACCGGAAGCTAGAAAGTCTTGGAAATCCTGAGACTTCTTTCTACAGCACCTTGAAGGAAAGGCTGGCCTGGCCAGCTGGCTCCCCGAAGCTCGTCGATGCGGACTTGGAAGAGCCTTTGCCCTGCGC